AAAACTTATAACCTACTATGCGGTTAGCAAAATAAATGGCTATTCGATCTTCTCGTATTTGTAATTAATGGTGATGCTATTTCATTTATCTTACAATTTTAATTTTGAGTTGGCAGCACAGCATTAGAATGCTCCCCAGTCACACCACATGTGTTCCGGGGTTCGATTTCACACAGTATTACTTAACGTTTTTATTTTATTCGATTTGTCTACTAATCTTGTAATTGCACACCTTTTTTCAAGTTCTATCCATCGTATGAATTGTTTGCCACTTGACATTTAACTAGGATTATAATCACAAACATTTTAGTTTTAATTGAACTTCATATGATTATTATTATTTTATGCATTCACATCTATGATTCGATTCCCTCACCGGATATAACTTCTTAAAAAAAGCCATATATACACGATTGTACAGTTTGATGATAAATTCGTTGAAAAGAGTCTCTTCGGTGAATCATCACTTGTTTTGATTTTGTATATGTTACAATGGGAAATTTTCCATGAGCAGAAGAGGTTGTCGAAATTAATATTCTTTGTTCATTAATCAATCCTTCGCATTTTTTATAAGCATCTTCAGCAAACTGTATTTATCTGACAAATAAACGACTAGAATATGAAAATAATTAAGAAGTACTTTCTATATAATTCGGTTTTAACGTTTTACTTTATTTACCAAGTGAATGAAGAAGAATAACTATGAAAATAAAGGATGAGATTTTTATTTTGATAAAATCACACAGTCTTATAAAGTATTGTTTACTAATGACCATGTTTTTCGAGCACAAATTATCACTCACTGCTCATAATCATATCAAGTCACTCACTCACTCACTCACACAACTTTCTTGCTTCATTTATATTCATGAATAAAAATTGATGATTAGACATTTGAATAAAAATCAATCAATATAATTTTCAAGCATTGGTTTTGTAGGGATTTTGTTTGATTGCTTTATTTTATATTCCATGGAGGATTTCATCATGAGCTGACATCAGTTAGAGAACCATTGCAAAACCACCAAGGAGTACTGTACAGCTGTTTCATGCAAGAGGCTACAGTCAGTTTCTAGGTCATGATGAGTTCCTGCGTCGGCTAGTTATATGTTTTCGTGAATTCGTTTTCCATTGAATTTTAAAGGTTTTTCTGGATGTTTTGCTCATTTTGCAGTGTGTAGGTCAGTTTTTGTCACAGGGTGCTACTATTTAGCTTATTTTTAGCCTGAAGTTCACAGTTATTATGTTGGTAGTCAAAGATTATTGTAAACCTGCAATCATTGAGCTAATTAACGTATACTATGCTAATATAGTAACATAGAGTATGCTAATAATAGTAACAGTAGACTCCCTTACTGTTTTGCCATTGTTTGACAGTGAACCTGTGCGCTGATTTTTCAGCATGAGTGGCACTAAATCGAACCTACTGGGTTTGCTTATCAACGTTGTTCCAGCCCTCACAGGACATATTAAGGATGAACTAGCGTTACTCCAGAGTGGAAAGTTTTGATTCAGCACGCAGCTGTCTTTTTAAGCACGACCTGTGTCATTTCAGAAAATGTTGGATAAATATGATCTTCAGTTACCATAAAAAGGCATTATCGAGGAATAGGTTAGAATAAATTTAGAATTGTTTTAAGCTTAGTGGTGCTGTGGTCTAAGTGATAAATCGTATTAATCACCGTTATTCAGGATATGCTATGAACCGGAAATCCTCAGCTGAAAAACGTATGAATAAGACACAGATCGGCGTAATTTATAACGGACTCCAAATCGCTCTCATCACAAAACAGTCAACCAAAGTATGCTTTAAACTGTCGCTCTCAGCCGTTTGAAGAGAAATTTACTTGATTTATGCTGACCTAGTATGCACAAATCCCAAAGGTCATTGAATTGACAACTTAAAAAAGTAGATTAGTTAATACATACATTTATCTATATGTACTAATTAAGGATACAATAAATTTTTAGAAATTGTAGTTAAATTTTATTCGCCTAGTAATCAAAAATGCATACATCCTATTTTGGGCTTAAAATAAATGCATCGCAATTATTGTTGATTTATATTCAGTTACTAGACATTCTCATACATCTTAATGTACTTTAAACACCACCAATGCATCCAAATAGCGTGTGACTATCACACTACACTCATACCAAAAAAATTAACACGCCATTATATAATGGTAAGGTAAGCCCTAAATCATACTGACTGTAAATTTCCGTGTCAAAATAAAAAGATTATCGCTTTAACTTATATTTTAGACCAATAGGAAGCCAGCTAATCAACAGCCAATCAAAATCTGCCTATATCTATTTTCCTGTTTCATTGGCCTAGTTTGGAACTCTTCATCAGTACACACACACACACACACACCGGAGTTCGAACCCATGGTGAGCTAGCTAACCTTGTAACCAGAAGTCCTGGGGTTCAAACCCCGGTGGATGTGTACTAATGAAGAGTTCCAAACTAGGCCAACAGAACAGCTGTACAGTACTCCTTGGTGGTTTTCCAGTGGTTCTCTAACTGATGTCAGCTCATGATGAAACCCTCCGTGCAATATAAGATAAAGTACATTAGGAAATAATAATATTAGTGTTATCAATCAAATATAATAAGATGGGAAATAAGACAAGTGTTTTTTTATAGTCAAAATAAATAACTCGTTAGAATGTTATAATGTGAATTGAATAGATTTTAATATTATTTATTATCGTCTTCTGATTTGACTGACTGACTGACTGGTGGTAAGTAATATCTTCCATATCTCTGTTATTCGCATTGAGTTATTTGTGTTGCATGCGTTGTGTTGGGTGTAGACTCGATGAACCAGGCAGGATTTAGTAATCAATGTCTCTCTCTCCACCTACATTAATTACTTCGTAGAATCTTAACCCTTTCCCACCACCCTATTGTATGTTTGTGTGTCAATGCATGCAGTGCAATCGCTGAGCTTTTATCTAAATTACTGATCTCACCAGGGTCAACCATTCTTACCTTAGCTAAATTCTGATGTTCCGATAACCTGACTACCGTCGACCTACTAGTCTGACCTATGTATATGACCTCACTCACAATCATTGCAAGGTATTTTATAAATTATATTATTTTGTTTCATCGGGTCAACAGAGTCCTCGCCTATCACTTCCGAATCTGACTGCTTCAAACTTAATAGCTTTCTGTTGGACGTCAGCAAGTGGTGTCTAAGTCAAATGGTCTTATGTTAAATCCTTCCAAATGTCAGGCAGTTGACTTTACTTTCAAGCATCGACATGACTTACATGAACTATTTAGTTCCCATGATGCCTTTAGTATAGATGGCATTGAAATCGAAACTAAGTCAAGCATTAAATACCTTAGATTAGCTCTTTCCTCTGATCTTTCATGGTCATCCCATGTTTTATCAATCTCTAAGAAAATGTTTCGTCTTACCTTCTACATTAAAAAGTTAAGACAATCATGTGTCAACCAACATTTACTTCTGCAGTTTGTAAACTCCTGTATTTTACCTATTGTAGTCTATTGCTGTCCATTAATCTTTCCTAGACTTCTCAAAAAAGACTATATCATATTACGAAGAGTATTAAATGCTGTGACTAGGGCTTGTGGTATGTCACTGCGTGAGCTCACCATTACTATAGTCGAGAGACACATAAATTCCTGTACAAAATGGGCAAAGGCTGTACTGCCACACCCTCTGCACCCCCTTTATTCACAACTATCCCCTTGTATCTCATCAGGTAGGACGAGAAGTTAATATAAAAAGTTATATGCTCATACCACTAAGTACAAAAATTCTACAACACCCTATTTAGCCTGTACTTTATGTGATGAAAACTCTGTTAGACGTGAAACATATAAGCTACTATTTAATTAGCAAACTTAATCGACACTTTCATTGTTCATCTTTCTGTATTATATGGTGTCACACTTTCTATCGTTTAATTATAACTTTGCTATTTTATTTTAGTTGTTATTACTATTATTACTATAATTTTATGCTTTATGCATATTTTTCTCCGTATTGCATACAGTAATTTCCTGTGTAGCGGCTATAACAACGTTTTATTATATATTATTACGTAATGTTTATTTTTACTTTTTTTTGTCGTTTTTGAGTAAATTAGATGCAATAGTGTACTGAATGCTGAAAATTCTTTGCTGTATCATTAGTACTGTTTTGGGAATAAAGCAAACATTATTATCATTATTATTATTATTATTTAGCCTACAGAGCTTGTTACTGCCTGAGTGAGTTTGTCAGTTTGAATGCTACCCTAATTCCCGTGCTTTACTGAAAATCCTACGTCGAGAGGGTTTCAGATGTCTCCTCCTTATATTGGTAAAACTACTATAGATGCCTTATATTATTCTCTAAGTGTAGATAGTCACTTTTCTTATTCACATCGTTTTCTATTTAAAGAAAAATCAGAAACTAAAAGTATCGATCATGGCATTTATTAGTTTTGAGCCAATACACATTTCTCAGACTAGAGAATTCCAGCAATTTACAAATTCCTCCTGCCTCTCCTGCTCCTCCTGCCCCCTCTCTCTTTCCCTCTCAACTCAACTCCAGTTACCATAAGAACACAGGTATGCTGCCCTGCGTGTGTGTGTGTATGCGTGTATGCGTGTGTTAGTGTAGGCATATGTTGAGTACAAACCAAAAATATTAGAGGGAAAAAACAACAGAACAAAACAAAACAAGAGCAAATCAGTAAAATCAGACGGTTAGAGAGAATTTCTGGTTACGCATCGTAGAACATACTACTACTAGTACTACTATACAACAACGCATCTGTCTCCAGTTGGCTAAACTCCCTTGAGACGTTAAAGAAAAGAAAAAATCTACAGCCGAAAAATATAGGCATTTCTGCCTTTCTCTGAAATTATATCTCCAACCAACCAATCCACACGTTTATTACTCAAATAAAATTAATATCGTATAGAGAGAGAGAGAGAGAGAGAAATGAAGAATGAAAAATGCTGGGTATATGGGAAGGGAAACACCCAAACCAAAATAGTAAACACACAGCGTATTATATTTTATTTTTTTAATATCTTCTCTAACTAAATATTTGACTCAATACACAGTGTACAGTGTACAACACCTTCCTTCGTCTGTCTCACATTCATTTGCACTACGATATTGAGAAATTAAAATTCTAAGATATTTAAGTAGAGTTATGTATATACATTACACATATATCTAAAGTGAAGCTTTTTACAATCCTGTCTTTCTGTGAAAAACACTCCTTCTACACACATCCATATTCAAAGCACACATTGAATTCCATTATCATTTTGACTAACTTTCATCATTAAAATATCGTCATTTCTGTTATCGAAAGAACTTGAACTTCAATACAATAAATATTGGCAAATGTGTATATCAGAGCAAATTGATATTGTTGTTACCCCCAATGTATTTGTTCCCGTTTCATTTATTGATATGTAGGAGCTGGAATAACAAATTGCCTCTTTCATAGTCCTGTTATTTTCAGCCTGAGTTTAAAACAAGTCTTTATTATTATTATTATTGTAAAAGTAAGTTATGAATTGTATCGTTGTTTTTTTTTCGTTGTTATTGAGAGAGGTTATCAATATGAGTATATGGAAAGTAGATTGTCATTTCAAAGTCTCAGTACTCTTCGCGTTCACATTTAACGTATTTTATATTATTAAGTAGGTGAGCAGTTAGAGAATTTAGATTCCATCACGAACCAGTATCAGGCAGGGAGTACACTGGAAAAATTGTTTCACCCTAATGTAGGACTCTTCAGTTGCAGCCTGGAGGTTTCGAGTTCCACCACCGCATGCTACTGAAGAGTTCCAGTCTTGGATGACACAGCTGTTCAGTGTGCTCCTTACCTCACCTTACAGTCATCTCTAATTGATGTTTGTTTTTGTAACGAAATCTGTATTGAAAGTTAGAGAATTGTTATTCGTATTTAATTCAATTTAATTTCAATATATTAAATACTCTTATAGTAAAATTTAGAACAACACATTTAAGTGAACAATATTGTACTTTCAATTAGATCCCATCAGGCTTAACTCTAATATATATATATATATATATATATATATATATATATAAGTTTACAAATAAAATTCAGATATAAGCCAGTCATGGTGTTTTGTCTGTAGGATAATAAGATGGTGAATATAAGTTGTGCAATTAGTCATAAAAGTAGTAGTAATGATAATAATAATTGTTCTGTCAATAATAAGGAACAACGAAAAACTGCATGATTAAACAAACAAATGTTCAGATAGACGTCGTAGCCGATAAAGGCTAATAAAAACAAATGAACCGATTAAGTAATTCTAGATTGTAAGGGAAGTAAACGAAACACGTTTTTAATGAAGATGTGATAAGATTAAGGGATGATAAGAAAACGGTTGAAAATATAAATAAGGGTGGTGCAGAAGTCATCAGTTGGTTATGTCTTAATAGGCCAACAAGGGAGGGACAATGGATGTACGAACTTGTTTTGAATGCATAGTTTAGGAGCATAGTAGTTCGAATGCCTATCGCCTCAGTTGTGTGCAGTAGGCAAATACGAAGTCGTTTATTGGAAAGATTCGGTGGGATACGATGAATTACTTTGAAGACCACTATCACTGATATGACAAAACGAAGCAGCAAAGGGTTTTTTATCTATCCTTTGCCAAACCGCGATGGAAGATGTTCAGTAGTGAGACGATGGTTAGGCTGTCTAGTAGTACGCCGAACACAACTGTCACTGCAGATGCAGTTGAATTGATAAATGCACATGGATGTGGTAAAACTATCTAGCTTATCCTTCGTTTGCGTCCTAATTTAATTTTGATTTCCCCGTTGATTGAGTGGATTGAAATGTCCAGCCTCTATTGACATGTCAGCTCCTCCCCAGTACAAATGATTCATAGATGTCTGATATTAAGGCAACTTAAAGCAATTTGGTAAATAATAGTGACTAATGGTGGAATCCAGCCAGGATAAGCACTTCGGTTGTCCTGTTCTAGACTCTTCAGTCAGTGGATGTACCCTCATTCCAAACAAGTTATGGTGTTCCACTGGGACTCGAACCCAGTACCTACTTCATGCTATTTGGGACTCATTGACTGGATATGTTCTGACCTATTCAAGTACTGATTCGATCAGTTGGATCTACCAATTCCTATATGATAATGCTGGTTGACAACAGTTGATGAATACTTCATGTCACTAATTACAGGATTGTAGTTAACTGAGTCAGTGAAATTATTCTAATAAATTCTGAAAAACTAATAGTACTGAATGCATTATCTACAAGAGTGTGGTTGGAGTGGTGATTCCAAAGTTAGTTAGAAGTAACAGTCCAATGGTTCTCAATATTCAGTGATTTTTTAGCGTGTGTGTCAGTTTGTGATGAAATCAAAATTAAAAACAATAGATTCCCGTACAAACTATTTTACACTTAAAATGAATTTTAAAGAAAGTAATAATATTGATAAAGAAAGACAGAAAAAGTGTCCGGTACAAAATGATATCACCAGTCTACTTCACAGGTTCTCATCAGCTGCAAACGACCTGAAATTACAATGGTCATAAATAATAACATCTTATACTACAATTTTTGAAAGGTAATAGAGAATACATTATAAGATTAACACATCCAGAATATAAGAATTACAATTCTTAGTTTAAGTTACCATCAATTTATATACTTTCAAAACAGAAAAGAAGGAGGGGAGGAGAAGATAGTTAACAGATAAATCTAATCAAATCTAACAAACCGTACTGGCCTGTGAAGAAGATTATATATAGTTCATGAAAGTGAAAACTCGCTCAGGGAGCTGAAATCACTAAAAAGAAATGACTAATCAATGTAATCGGTGGTATAGCGGTTAGGGCGCTCGCTGACCATGCACATGGTCCGGGGTTCGATTCCCGGCCGACTCATTCCTTACCTCGCTAAGCCAGGAATAATGATGGTAAAGAGGAAAGTTTGAGTATGAGGCTAGCAACCCCATCCTGTAAAATAAACACTGCTACAGAAACTTCAAGCCTGTAACTTGAAGCCCTATGTTCCACTGGGGAACGTGAAGGAAAAAAAGAACAATCAATGTAATCAAAATGCAATTATCAAGGGGTAGTGAAAGATTGATTCCACTCTCTTTCTGTATGCATAATTTTGACTAGAAGCGTTTGATTACGATTGCTCCAGCACATCGTAGTAAATTTTCTATCTTTCATATGTGTGTCTAGTAACTCCACTTTGAGAATATCCGCTTCCTTTTAGGCATATACTATGAAAACCTAGACAGAAGCCCTTCTTTCTATCCTTCTAATGTATTTGTTCCCTCAAGTGCGCCTAAATGTATGAAAATATAAATTTTGAATTGGATTAGCTAGAGGAAAAAGTACTTTCTCTTCCAACATACGTATTATCAATTAGATTTTATCCAGTTTTCTGTACTTCTTATACGAATAACTTGAAAGTGGCTTTATTCACGTTATGTAACAGACTTTTGGACATCATTTCAAACTCATTATAATATCGTCTGATTAAACATCACATGTGGATTTAAAATACCTATTTAGCCATTTCGAAGGCAAACATGCCTCGTGACTACTTACAAATTTCAGGAGTTTTATGGAATTTTCTTGCTAGAACTTAGAAGTTACCGGTACCTTACCGGTTAATTGATGTGAATTTATAATGTCAAGAGAATCCCTTAAATTCTCCTCACATGTTATAGTTTCACGGAGTTCCTTGCTCAACACTGGAATTCGTTTACATAATCGTCAAAGGATTCAGTATATTTTATATAATCATTCTGAGCACTCATACATTACAAGATGGGTTAGAAAAACTATACCATTACTGGTTAGTATCTGATTCATATACTGTCTGAGCACCTGAGAATACCTGTAGTACCATTTTGCAGATTGCAGATGTCCAACAATCAATGAAACACTGTTATGTTTGCAGAAATGATGTATGCACCTTGTATTCATCGGTTTCGACTTATCAGTATTTATTCTACTTATGTTTAACTTTATCAGAGGTTAATAATATAATTAATAGTAATTAAATTCACTATTATCTGAGATTTATTCAGCTCAAAATAATCCAAGCAGTGGAATCCAGGATGCGCATTTCCACTGTCCTATTTGGGACTCGCCAACTGCATATATCTGCATTCCGCAGTTAGTGGTGATGTGCCCACCGAGGCTCGAACCCAGTACCCATAGTTTCAAACGCCAAAGCGTTATCCACTAGACCTCTTGAGCCACGAGAGCCACCTCTTGTGCAACGAGTCATATATTAATTATTTAATTCAATTTTAGATTTTCCCGTCGATTGATTGAACCGGTGTGCTCGATCTCAGGTTGACATGTCAGCTTCTTGTGTAGATACTTAGATACAAAAGGTGGCTGTCATAGCTCAAGCGGTCTGGTGGATAACGCTTTGGCGTTTGAAACTAGGTTCGAGCCTCACTGGGAATATCATCACTCACTGCGGAATGCAGGTACATCCATCTGACGAATCCCAAATAGGACGAAATACGCGTTATCCTGGATTCCATTGGTAGTCACCATCCACTAATGAACTTATAATTACATGCCCAGACATCGTCGAAGCATCTGCACAAGGAGCCTACATGTCAACCACAGATCGAGTACTTCGGTTCAATCAATTGACGGGAAAATCTAAAATTGAATTTGAAGAGTGAATATGAATACAATAACTGTTGAAAGGTTAAGATTAAAATTCAATTTTAATATTTGAGTAAAACTTGGGCACTTTTGTGGTAGTATGTCATTCCATATTAATTTGTTTACTTCATGCATTACATCACCTTTACATGACAGCGACAATCGAATTCACTTACTAATCGAATAGTCAGGAAGGGGAACTTCCATGTTACATTTAGTCACAAAAAGGATAGGAAGTTAAACACGTGTTTACGGGAAGCTCACAAGTTCAAACCGATATTTGCGTTTTGGTTCATGCCACTCTATTTCAGATAAAATAGGATTGGTGAAATGTTTAAGTGATAGGTTACAAAAATTAAATACTACCAAGGAAAATCTAAGACAGGAAATGGGGCATATGAGAGAAGCTTTAAACGTGATAAATTAATCAAGAGGTATGTGGGAAAATGTAAAAACAAAATTAATAGTAATAATGGCAGCAGCACTGACAGTAATAATAATAATGTCGACATGCATAACAAACATGCACAGAATGATAATAACACCAATAATAAGGAGTTTAAATCAGCAGTAGTACTACCATAGAGGGAAGAAACCTCAAAAACCTTACATAGAACTCTTAATACAACAGGAATAAGAGTGGCCGACATTTAAACCCCCCATAAACTAACCTAGGAACAAACCTCGTCGGCTACAGGTTCCCGTTAACCCAATTAATTAAACAAAACAATTTAATTTATGTAATACCCTGCCTGTGATGATTGTCAGGTCAAATACATAGGTCAGAGTAGTAGAATGGACAGTCAGTCAGACTAGTGGAGTACAAAAACCTAGCAAAATCTAGATTAGTTGACCC